GCGTCAGCGACGGCCCAGATTGCAGTCTCTCTAGGTGTGCACAATGCTGAAAGCCTCCATGTGGGTGGAACCAGAAACGGGTTTGGAACTTCCCTCGGTTCCTCGGCTCGGCTCCTCCCTTCCTGTAGCCAGTCGGAATTCTCGCAGCGTCTTCCAGAAGCTGTTCCTGAACTTGGTGCCCACAAAGAAGTATAGGACGGGGTTGAGGCAGGCGTGGAGGTACGCCACCGCTTCCAGTACGGACGCCACGTTCCATAAGCTGACGTCCTGGTGCCGGTGCAGGAGGACCAGCAAGGTGACATTAAAGGGCAGCTGGGTGACCAAGAAGACCACCACCAGCGTCAGGATGATCCGGATGGATTTCTTCTTCTGTAAGCTCCGCGAACCAATCACGGTCTTCAGAATGAAGCTGTAGCAGAAGATCATGGCGGACATGGGCAGGAAGAAGCCGACCACCAGCTGGATGGAGTAGATGGAGACCCTCCGCTCTGGACTTTCATGGTTTCCAGAGCAGAAATTTCCTTGATCGGCGGAGAACTTGAACTGCGGCACGGCGAGGAGCCCGGCGATCAGCCAGATGAAGGCGCATATCCCGCCGCCCCACCGGTGCTTGTGTTGGTGGTATTTCTGCGCCTTCGTCAGCTTGACGATGGAGACGAAGCGGTCGAAGGTGATGGCGGTCAGGGTGAGCATGGACGTGTAGAGGTTCACCCGGTACATCCCAATCACGATTTTACACATGAAGTCGCCGAAGATCCATTCGTGGAGCATTTGGCAGACCAGGAAGGGAAACGTGCAGAGGAACAAGACGTCGGCCACGGCCAGATTGAGGAAGAACGCGTCCGTCAGCGTCTTCTTCTTCCTGTAGAACACGTACACCACAATGACCAGCACGTTGCCCAGCAGGCCGACCGCACATGTGATGCAGTATATGATCGGGAGGAAGAGCCCATAGATGTGGTGAACGTTTGGAGGACTGATGTCACCATCGTAGGTGGAGTTATCATAGTCCATCTGGATGATAATAACAGAAATGTACATGTTAGAGCGACAAACAGGAAGTGAAAGATAACAAAGTAACACTTAGTATTTATGTATTTAAAGCTGAACCCCGAGATCACAAAATATTGTCCTCACTGCTGCTCTCTCTCATTGTGCAGGGTGACTGGTCTTGTCTCCGCCCCCTCCTGTAATAAAGACCACCCACTGCTGCTCTCCTTCTGCAGGGTGACTGGTCTAGTCTCCGCCCCCTCCTGTAATAAAGACCGCCCACTGCTGCTCTCTCTCCTTGTGCAGGGTGACTTGTCTTGTCTCCGCCCCCTCCTGTAATAAAGACCACCCACTGCTGCTCTCCTTCTTCAGGGTGACTGGTCTAGTCTCCGCCCCCTCCTGCAATAAAGACCGCCCACTGCTGCTCTCTCTCCTAAGGTGACATTAAAGGGCAGCTGGGTGACCAAGAAGACCACCACCAGCGTCAGGATGATCCGGATGGATTTCTTCTTCTGTAAGCTCCGCGAACCAATCACGGTCTTCAGAATGAAGCTGTAGCAGAAGATCATGGCGGACATGGGCAGGAAGAAGCCGACCACCAGCTGGATGGAGTAGATGGAGACCCTCCGCTCTGGACTTTCATGGTTTCCAGAGCAGAAATTTCCTTGATCGGCGGAGAACTTGAACTGCGGCACGGCGAGGAGCCCGGCGATCAGCCAGATGAAGGCGCATATCCCGCCGCCCCACCGGTGCTTGTGTTGGTGGTATTTCTGCGCCTTCGTCAGCTTGACGATGGAGACGAAGCGGTCGAAGGTGATGGCGGTCAGGGTGAGCATGGACGTGTAGAGGTTCACCCGGTACATCCCAATCACGATTTTACACATGAAGTCGCCGAAGATCCATTCGTGGAGCATTTGGCAGACCAGGAAGGGAAACGTGCAGAGGAACAAGACGTCGGCCACGGCCAGATTGAGGAAGAACGCGTCCGTCAGCGTCTTCTTCTTCCTGTAGAACACGTACACCACAATGACCAGCACGTTGCCCAGCAGGCCGACCGCACATGTGATGCAGTATATGATCGGGAGGAAGAGCCCATAGATGTGGTGAACGTTTGGAGGACTGATGTCACCATCGTAGGTGGAGTTATCATAGTCCATCTGGATGATAATAACAGAAATGTACATGTTAGAGCGACAAACAGGAAGTGAAAGATAACAAAGTAACACTTAGTATTTATGTATTTAAAGGTGAACCCCGAGATCACAAAATATTGTCCTCACTGCTGCTCTCTCTCATTGTGCAGGGTGACTGGTCTTGTCTCCGCCCCCTCCTGTAATAAAGACCACCCACTGCTGCTCTCCTTCTGCAGGGTGACTGGTCTAGTCTCCGCCCCCTCCTGCAATAAAGACCGCCCACTGCTGCTCTCTCTCCTTGTGCAGGGTGACTGGTCTTGTCTCCGCCCCCTCCTGTAATAAAGACCACCCACTGCTGCTCTCTCTCCTGCAGGGTGACTGGTTCTGTCTAAGCCCCTCTGTAATAAAGACCACCCACTGCTGCTCTCTCTCCTTCTGCAGGGTGACTGGTCTTGTCTCCGCCCCCTCCTGTAATAAAGACAACCCACTGCTGCGCTCTCTCCTTGTGCAGGGTGACTGGTCATGTCTCCGCCCCTCTGTAATAAAGACCCCCCACTGCTGCTCTCTCTCCTTCTGCAGGGTGACTGGTCTTGTCTCCGCACCTCTCTAATAAAGACCACTCACTACTGCTCTCTCTCCTTGTGCAGGGTGACTGGTCATGTCTCCGCCCCTCTGTAATAAAGACAACCCACTGCTGCGCTCTCTCCTTGTGCAGGGTGACTGGTCTTGTCACCACCCCCTTCTTTAGCTTTCTGTAGTGGGTGGAGCCTACTGGTTCCCTCCCACACTCTGCTCAGGCTATGTTCAGCACAGTGATGATGGTTTGTAAAGGTGTTTGGTGCACACAAACTGGCTATTTAGGAAAATATTTATATAACATTTTTTGTGCCCGGAGTTCAGCATGAAAGAATCACTTTTACAAAGAATGATGTTGGTTTAGTCACTTTATATATAAAAAAAAAAAAGTCTATAAAGTTTAAAAGAACAAGAAAAAATCTGCATCCGCAGAACCCTCAGCCCACCACTGATCATGAGGAAGAAAAACCCGGGCTGGAGTAAAGCGGATTGACTTACCTGATCCTTGCTCCCTCCGTGCTGCTAGACCGGTCCCTGCAGCCTCTTCTCTGCTTTGACAGTCTAAAGACCCCTGACCTCATCAGTGTTATGAAGACATGAGGACACTGAGGGACAGTCCACCAGCCAGAGCTGAGGGGGGAGAAGAGGAAAGCACTGACCACCGACAGAGTGGGGATCATGCGAGTAATACAGCTGTGAGTCCCCTAGACATGAAGGAGCACCTAACCCTTGCAGCGCGGGGGCAGCCCCATTGTAAGGGTAGTTTTGGTTGAGCTTCAACATAAGGTCCATATGGAGACGACTTTTCTCAAAACAAAGGCAATTCCCGGGACACTCTGCTCAGCTAGATCTAGCTTCTGTGGCAGTCCGTTGTGTTCTGATTGCTCGGTTTATGAGCGTGGCCGGCGTTTGGGTTCCTTCCTCATTGGACTTGCCTTCATTTTCATGTCTCTCCACATTCACCTGACGGACAATCAGCAGAAGTGGAAGCGATGAGTTAGGACGAGTCATAAACAAGTCAGAATTGCTGCTAAGCATTGAGCAGAGGATCGCGTTGGTCACCGAGAAGCGGATGTATGACCCTGAGATGCCACAAGATGGTGCCGAGAAGCAGAAGAAGATCCTCAGAAGGTTTTACATCATCATTGTTGCCTCATCTTTCACACGTAACCCCCCCCCCCCAGCACCTACAGTACAGTTCCCGTGCTGCAAACACTTATTTCTATATTGTCTATTCTACTATCTTTAGCTCCTT